GGAATGGTTGTGTGTAATGCGGGAACACCGGAGAGGTGATTGCAATAGATTTATAAGGAGTAATCATTCCAGCGGGCGCTGGGGCTGGGAAGCGGTGGGCTGAGTCCGCCGTGGGGAAAGGCTCAGCCTCTCCTGGCACTTTGCCTTGACCGGATCGGTCGGGGAAAGGGTTTGACGTGTAGGCAGTCACGGCCACGACCTGCCATTGTGCTTTGGTTTGTGTACGCCAACAAAGGTAGCTGCTGACCTTCCGAATTGGGAGGTCAACGGTAAGAAGGAAAACATCCGCCCAAAACTGTTTTGCCTTAAAAATAAAAAGCCGCCTTTTGTCTAAAATAGTTGTCTGAACCTGGCTTCAGCTCAGCACCAGACTCCTCTTTCAGAAATACATACATAATAACGTGGGGTTATGTTTTTTGTGCTAGTACCTTTGTGTTTTGAGTATTTGATCCGTTATTTTTTATATACCAAGTGAGTTTATTTGATAGCCAGAAAACCGCTTGCCATTTTCCTTCTCAATTGATGGTTCCCAATACCCAGGTCAGGACGTGCACTGCAGCGGGTGGGTAATTCGTCTCGAGCCCAAGGTCCAGCTCCCTTAGGTATATTCTGTTTCTTAGCCACTGTTCCCTATTTTACAGTAACAAGTAGGACTCTTGATTTCTTTATGGTCATTAGCCTGTGTCTGGTTTATCAAATGGGATATTCTGAGCTCAGTCCTGGGAGCACTGTTATTTACTGTCCTCAGTAACGACCCGGTGGAGAAAACAAATTGCACATTGATTAAACGTACAGATCTCAAAGCGGGAGCAGTTGCGCCTCGGTGGGAAAACTGGAGCCAAATTTAAAAAGATCTGGAGAGACAGCCCCACCTGAGAGGGGTAAATATGTGAAAGCGTGTCTGCATTTACCTGGGTTTAGTTTTGTGTATTTTAATGCAAAGAAGAGTAGTTCTCAGCACCCGCGGGGTGGGTGGGTGTGATGCTGAGGGGGGAGCGGTCCCGGCTGGCGTGGAGGCTGGGATCTGCTCTCCTGGCTTTGGGCTCCTGATTTCTGTCGGAACACAAGGAAAATCGGACGTAGAGGGGCAGGTGTGGGAGAGGATCGTCCCAGTTGGGAAAACGGGGAGGCTGAGTATCCGTGAGTTCCTGAGATGTGGATGCGCTGCGGGATGGAGCTGGCACTCGCCGGGGGATGCGTCGTGAGAGGGGCGGCACGAGGAACCGGCACGGGCAACCCCCTCTCTGCTTTCAGTCCATTAAAAAGTGATTTCTCACTCATTTTTACTTCTTTTTTTTTTTTTTCACTGTGCTCCCTTCACCGGCAGAGCTGGCTATTCTTTCTTCTACATCTAACTGCCTCCGTGTGATCGAGGCATCGATTACTGAAACCTGAAAAATCAAAGTAGAAAAACATAGTTGAGCAGTCTTGGGTAGAACTTTGGGGACCAGGAGCTGAACCTGAAGACTCGGTACCGCTTGATGCCATGAGGGGTGTTTTTAATATTTTAAATATTTTAAAGAAAAGGAGTTAGGTCACAAATGAAGTATGCATTTTGGTAAGGGATAGACAAGATAATGGGCAGTGTGATAAGGCAATGTATGTAGTCAGCACTGGAGCTGGAATTAAATTATTAGCTATTTTAAGTTAATAATTGGCATTTTGTTATATCTTACCTCTTTGTATTCAAAAAGGTGCTTTATTTTTACTCAGGTGAAATACGGGAAGCGCAGTTGTATTAGTTAACACCGTGGAAGCAGCCCGTGCTTGCCCGCTATGTTTTCTTTTGTGTGTATTTTTGATCAAGTATTATGTGGTGTGTTAAAATGAAATGTTTAAAGGCTTCAAAATGTTCCCTCTATCAATAACTTGCCACCTTGTATGACTTTGTTGTCAGCGTTGGCACATAATCCATTAGTGACAGACAGCGGGATGGTACTGGTACTAATTTTGAATCTAGATCTGTGGTTTTCATTTATTGCACATTGATTGCACAGTCATCTCCATAATCGGTGATTAATTTCAAATCACTTTGTAGTTTGCCCTTATTCAAAAAAACCATGTATGTGAAAATACGTTTTTAAAACTGTGGATAATCTGATGATGGTGGTTAAAAATACATCTCTAAGCACGTTGGCAGAAGAAGGTTTGTGTGGTTTTGGAGGCTGCTCAGGGAAGTGGAAGATGCTGATGGTGCAAGAGTGGCCTCGGTGGCTGTACGTGGATATAGGTACAGATGTCAGTCTATATGTTAGGTATATATCAGGTGGGGGGGTGTATGTCTGGATATGTATCTGTCCGTGTGTGGAGAGAGAGAGATGCGGGTGGGCTTCCCTGTTGGGATGGTCTACGTGGGCCACCAGGCGTGGGGGACGCTGAGCATCGCGAGCGTGGCGGTGGGGCTGGTGGGACAACTGTCCTTCCTACGCGCTGGCCTGACCGGCAGCTTCATCCTTTCTTGTCACCCTTCCCTTTCAGGCCCAGAAGAATGAGCGGGAGTCCATCAGGCAGAAGTTGGCTCTGGGCAGTTTCTTCGACGATGGCCCCGGACTTTACACCAGCTGCAGCAAGAGCGGCAAGCCGAGCCTCTCCTCCCGGTAAGCCGGGCGGCCCCGCGGCCCAAAACCTCGTTGGAGGCTGAAAAAGGGTGAGATGCCTCCAGCGGGACGTCCTGAGACCCTCTGCCCTTCAGAGGAGCCCTCAGTTCTGGCTTGCAACCGTAGTCTTGAATTTTCCTTGTTTTAGAAAAACATCTCATGCTCCAAACGCAATAGTCGTAAATAAATGTGAACCATATGCTAAAACATTAGTTTAAAACTGTATAGAAGAGAGACTTGGGTGCTCAGGGGACAAAGCAAATGAGCTGAAGTTTCCCGAGTTGGATTTCTTTCAGGTTTTCATTTAGGATCTCTGCCCTGAACTGAGCATTTGGACTTGGGGCAGACCAAGAATGGTGGTGGAAGTATCATGAATGCACAGCTGGAGTTATTGTCAGGAAAATAGTTGATTAATTTCCCCCCCCGCCCCAAAGAGGTCTTTACATTGAGGTGCAAAATACTGAGGATTTTAATGTCTGAATGCCTGGTTTGATGCCAGACGTGCACGTCTGAAGCAGGACAGGGCTTGAGGATGGTCCCATGGTCCCACCAGTCCCGGGTCAGGCAGCGTGGTGATGAAAACACCATGAGTTTGTGAAAGCGCATCTTCCTTCGGTCGGTCGGAAACAGATCTGATGCTGAGAGCTAGCCCTGGTGACAGCAGGGCAGTGGAGAGCAATTAATCTCACGCACAGAAAGCACCAGAGAATGGAAAAAAAAGAGCTTTAATGTGGCCCCCTGCCTCCCCCCTGTGTCCACGTGCTCCGTGCAGGCTCTGCTCACTGGACCCCCATCCCTGGGGCTGGCACATTGTATAGCACGGGTACCTGAGGTATTCCGATTTTTTAAAATTTTGACATCATGTAAACTCCAGAAAGGCTTGTTTGTGTTCAGCTGCCGGGGAGTAACCCATGGCACTTGGAAAGCATCGAACACCTCCCACATGGGGAGTGAAGACCGACCTGTTGCCATGGTGTGGGAGAAGAAAAAAAAGTCTTGGAGAGGCATAAAGCCAGGAGGAATACTGTTATTACACCAGAGAGGTACAATTGTGAAATTAAATTGAGCTGCAAGTCATTTGAAAGGGAAAACAGTTTTGCTCTGTGTAGTTACAGCTAAACCAGGAGCCACTATCTTGCAATTATAGCACAGGTCTAATTAACGCTGCGCGGCAGGGTTTAGCAGCTGTGCCACCCGAAATTGCCAGCTGTACCTGAACGCTTTGGCGTTTCGTTAATATTTATAGTCCAGGCAAAGCGTTAGTATTGCACGCTGCCTGTTACAGGACCTACAGGAACCTTTGCAGGAGCCCTGCTTGCCTGTGAAAGGAAAGACCAGGAATTGCTGGGTTTCAGGCGGTGGGGTCACGCTCTCGAAAGGCGCGAGAGTCGCGGACCCACGTTTTGCACTTGCTCTGCCCTTTGTGCGCGATGCAATTTTAAGCCAAGCCAAGGGTGCATCCTGCTCCCCGGCCTGGGTACCCGTGTCTGTCCACCACGGCTTAAAAGCTCGTACAGAATTATAGAACAGAATCACAGAATGGGTTGGGTTGGAAGGGACCTTTAAAGGCCACCTAGTCCAGCCCCCTGCCATGGGCAGGGACATCTTCAACTCGATCAGGTTGCTCAAAGTCCCGTCCAACCTGGCCTTGGACACTCCCAGGGATGGGGCAGCCACAGCTTCTCTGGGCGACCTCTGCCACTGCCTCACCACCCTCATCGTAAACAATTTCAGTTGTTAATGCTATCTATTTTATGGCAATAGCGGCTAAGAAATTCCACTAAAATAAATGGAAAATAAGAGTTTGCTATCTGTAAGTACTGATATAAGCCCCTCCGTTGGGAATGAGGAATCACAGGCAGCAGAACATGGAGGGGGGGTTGCCCCATCTTCAGCAGGTAGTGATGGAGTACGGTGTACCGAGAAGGCTGATAGAGTTGACCCCAGAAATCTCTAGTTTCTGGGGTGAATTTTTAATGAATTTGTAAGATGTACAATGCCTGAGTGGATTTTACAGGAGGCAAACGGGCTTGACCCCATGGTCCATGGGGTGCCTGGGCTCAGCTGGCAGCTGCAGAGCTGCTCTGCGGTGTGAGGGCTTTCCCAGACACCTCCTGTCCAAAACCAAAATCTGTTCCCTTGTTTGCTGTCCGAGGCTGATGGGAGGTGGGGTCCGGCTGAAGTTTGGTGTGCCACGCTCTTCTGGGGGCATCAGCCCGCACCGGTAAAACGCGTGGTACCTGGCTGATGTCCT